ACCGCTAAGTGAGGAAATAGATAAAGCGTAAGAAACGGGAACAAACGAGTAACTCCTACACACCGGTCTCAACCCGTAACGCGCCTCTGCCGCGTAAGCATTTTCTGAGCTCAGACAGCGATCCCTCACGCGATGGGGAAATGGAGCGGAGCAGGAGACCGCAGACCGACCTCCGCTGCTGGTTACAGCCGGCTGCTACCGCCAGCGGAGCAGGCTAACAACGGAGAGACCGCTCGCAGGGGCGGTCCGCAGTCGCACGCAACTACACGCCTCCACTCACTCGCGCCTTGCCGAGTACGAGCGCGCGTGCTCCGCTGACGGCAGGGTGTGTGCCGCATACGCCGTCTCGAGGCCCGTCGAGCTGTGGCTGCCTGCAATCCGGTGCGCGCATATCGCGGCTCTTCCCATCGGCACCTCGGTCTTTGTGGCCTGCTGTCAGCCCTTTACTCGCATGCCGCGACTGCGGCTACTGCGGGAAGAAATGCTGCTCACTCGCTGGGAGCACTGCGCGCAACGAGGTGTGGTGCGGCCAATGGGGAAAGGGCAACCAGTTGGGAGTGTGGGCCTCGGTGTGGGGCTGCGGACGGGACGTGTTGGGAGGCAGCAGTGGGTTTGGTGTAATGAGGGTAGGTTATGTGTGGTGTGGGTCAGTGCGCAAATCTAGATGCTCTACCCTTCAAGGGGATGTGCGGTGCTGTTTGTCCCCGAGGTTGGAGCTGGAAGCGGCTGGCTGCATCAGGAACCTGGAGATGAGCATACTCATCTCACTGTGAATCTGCTCCCCTGGCTGCAATCTCTGTTTCTGCTGTCGTACAGTAGCTTATTCAGAGCAAGAACTAATATAACACAGTTGGAACCAAAGAGAAGCTGTGGTTTTGTGAAATTCAAGATCATTTTGCATTATTTTGTGTAGTTCTTATCTTACCTGGTGTAAAACAAGAATGATATAGCTATTTTCTCATTGAAAGACAATCCAAAAATTGTTTCCCTCCACGGGAGCATCTGAGTCCACATATGAACCCAAGCACTCACGTGTGAACAAAGGCATTTTTACCATGCCTTATATTTTTTATTTATTACATAGCCACCCAAGTGGGAAGCAGAAACATCACTGCAAGATTTGGCCAAATTTGTAGCCGGTGCAGACACTGGTGACATGCAGCAAATTGATGTAAATAATAAGGTTTTGCAAATTTTTCGCGCTAGATTTTTTTTTTTTTACCATTTTTCTCATCACAATCTCATGCACTTAGAGACAGTATATGGAACTTTCTGATGTCAGTAGGGGAATTATGCTCTGCAGACTTTGGCTTCAGAACTAAACAGCTGTTTTGCATTTTCAGTAAACCCAATGACAAAATATGTTTCATGGAATCAACAGTAAAATCAGATTTTGCATACATTAAGGCTTTGTACTAGTCCTCCATTTCAGAGAGCATGGGAAAAATCTCAAAAGAAGGGTGTCAGCAATGCTTAGTGTGTGGCGGCATCCATTCTTTGCTGATAATACAGTTTAGTTTGTGTAGGGTAAAACTAGGCAGTCTTCTGGTCCATTGACATTGAGGGCACAAGCAGATGTTTTCCTTCCGCTATCAAACAGTGAGAACTTTGTCCTAAGAACAGATTTGTGGGTAATTAGGGACCTCATGTTCATTGAAAAAAAAAAAATTCTACCTACAACTCAGCTGCAGTAACAATTGTTTAGAAAAAATATCTCAAAAACTTCTGCACCAGTGGGCATTTTTTTGGTGAGAATATTCTGAACAGTAAATTGGTGCTTTCATCTGTTTTGTGCTTGAAAAAAATAGCAAAAGAATTTGAGGACTCCCTGTAGAATGACTTAAGATTCTAGAGGATGGGAAATTATTCTAGAGAGGTGTTAACCAATCTCCTTTTTCAATTGACTCCATCAAACTCAAAAGTTTGTGCCTGCGTTCCAAGTGCTAGAACTTCAGCAGCTCAACAAAAAATAGTAAAGGTAATCAATGACTGCATTTTGCGTGCAGGAGAGCTGAGAAGGTAAATGTTAGTTGGTGGAATAAATTCTTGCTAATAATCCTTAGATCCATATGAAATATCTGAACAGTTTGAGATATGTTTTAGTATGAGCAAGCTGTGTGTCTTTCATGTACTTGTGGAACACCTTTCTTTAAGATGTGTTATAACCAAATACATATTTCTATGTTCTAAAATCTACATTACAGAATTTCCCAGCTGTGCAGTTCTTTCTATGAGCTGCTAATTATATCTGGGATGCAGAGGCACCTGCCTTAAAGCTTGTCTGCTTATGGGAATATGAAAGAAAAAAAATCTGCTATGTATCTGCTGTACATCACCATAGTTATAGCTATGTAAATCCTAACGTGCACATTCTTTTCTTGCTTTATATTGTTTTTAAAACAGCAAACATTAATATAGAAGAATTCTTATTCTGCCTGCTAAATGTGTCTTGGTTACACATATTTTCAGTATAGTAGTAATACCACAGTAGATTTCTGTTAGTAAATTCTATGTGTAGACAAACCTTTGCACCTCACAACATGAAACTGGAGCTTTTGAAAATGTGAACTTGAAGTATGTGTGAACTCTAATCCACAAAGCCTAGAATTCAGTTATTCTGCCAAAGAATATGTTGTTTTGCTAATATAAAAGTAAAAAAAAAAAAACAACTGTCCAGCATTTTTGTGTTTTATTTATCCCAGGAGGAGTTGCCTACAATTGCCTCCTTCTCAAAGTTTTCTTTGGCATTTAAATGAGCAGTAGTGTGTTCTTCCTGTGCAGTCAGGCAGATGGGAACCTGGAATCCAGAAGTGATCTCTGGCTTGCAGAAACTATTAAGGAACCAAAAATATTGGCAAGGCACTTAAGTATAGAGGAAGGCAGTGCATCTGGTGATGTTCTGAGTAAATGGGGATGCTGACCACCAGTGTCCTCCATGATGTAGCCTTTTCCATAGCTTACTTACTAGGCAAAAAGTTTTCAGAATAGCTGCCTGAATCATGCCTGAAGTTCGGGGACTAGAACTAGCATGTTTGCAGAACAAAATGAACAAAAGTAAACATAGTCTTAAAAATGCTCAGTGGTGTTTGTGTTGATGAGTTTTAAGTATCAGCTGTAACACTGCAGCAGGTGTAACAAAACAGAAATGCATGATATTATGGTACATCATTATGCAATATGACTGAATGAGCATTGTATCAGATTTTAGGACATTCTCTAATAGGGATGTATACATCAGTACTGTGGAAATCAATCCCACTGTGTCAGTTAAATATAAAGGGCACTGCATAAGAGATTTGGATGGCACATCTTTGTTCTGCAACTGCAGGTTTTACAGCCTGTCTGAAACAGTTCTGGATGCATCAAGTGCAAACAAATTACACTGGGGAAACATGGAGTATGTAAGTGTCTGCCTTTCAGTTGGTGAAATTAAGGTGGTTAGGGTTAATTCTTGGAAGGCAGACGAGAGCAGGTTGTTTACTTGCTAGATTATTGGAATGAGTGTTAGGGACCATCACATTTGACCAAGTAGGTATATCCCGTATTTGAAAAGTTGAGAGTGTAACACAGTGTTCAGCAATATATGTATATATATATGCTGTTTTCCTTAGACACAGATGTTGTGTGTTTTATCCAAAGATTAATAAGTTAGATGAGTAAGAATTTCCTACAGGATAGGGTCAGGACATTAAGTTGAATATGTCTTGATTTTGTGTTGAAGCCTAGTGATGCTGCATCTTGGGATCCTCAGTATGAGAGACGTGGACATAATCAACAGGTCCAGCAAAGGGTCCTCTTAAGATATGGTGGATAAGAACTTGGAGCATTTCATACATACAGATTCTGCAAAACTGGAGAAGGAGGCTCAGGGGACGGAGTGAATACATGAAGGGATGGAGTGAAGGTGAAAGCAGAGTGTTCAGTGGTACTTATTGAGCAGTCTATTCATTGTGCACAAACTGAAATACAAGAAACTCCATTTAAAAGTTTTGGGTTTTTTTTTCATTATTTTTAATGTGAGGGTGGTCAAATCCTAGAAATTGTGGAGCATTCATTCTTGGAGATGCTTAAAACGCAACTGGGCGTGACAATCAGCTCTGGCTGACCCTGATGGGGGTAAAGGGTTGCACTCAGCAGCTTCCAGAGATGGGAAAGTGTCATTGATGCATCAGGTATGCATCAGGTAACAAAGTGTGACTGGCATGGATTTTTGGAGCAGCATGCCATTACCATGAAACATACCTAATATGTGCTAATATGTGTCTTGTAGTGTGGTACGGGGGAAGTTGAGTAGGTGTGCTACAGAAACTGATACACATGGTGTTGGTTAACACACTGAATGTGTCATACTAATTTGTTGCCAGTAGTTATTATTTTAGACAAATGATAGCAATATGGGATGATGCAGCCCAGGTGGCATACTGGTTATGTCAAACATAATGATGTATGGCAAGTAGCGTGTGGGATATGTCACACGCTTATCTGCCATACGAAGGACAAAGGTTTTGGCTCTAGGTACCACGTGAAGCAGCAGCCGCGAAAAGCACGATAGTTATCATACGTTTTGTCATGCCACCTGACGTTAACCTGCAGCGTGCTGCCCGTACCCCGCAGTGCTAGGGTACAACTGGCACGTCCGCCCTGAGAGCAAGCAGCTGGAGCCGTGGAACACAGTAGCCTGGCTAGAAGTACCTCACATAGCTGCGGGAGAGGCTGGGCAGAGCCGCGCCACTACTGCCGGAGCCCTTTTTGTCTCGGCCCTGGTCTGGGCTGCAACGCTGCGAGCGCGCTTAGACCGCATTTCTGGCCTGGGGTAGACGTAAGCGTATCGAAGGGGAAGCCGCTTGCCGGAGGTGGTCGTCGCCGGGCCGCGGAAGCCGGGGGGCGGTGCGAATCGCCACAGGCGTGCCTGCCGGCGGGGCGGGGCGAGGGCCCCGCCGTGCGGGTGCGGCAACCGCAGTGGCGGCCGTTGCGCCTGTGGGGTGCGCGCGTGGCGATCGGCGGGAGCGCGCGGCCTGCGTTCCTGCCTCGCCCGCCTCCTCGCGGCGCCCCGCCTCACCCTTCTCTGTGCTCGTCCCGGCCGTACGCGGCCGTTAGCGCCGCCGCCGCTTCAATTTATCCGTCAGTCGGGCGGCGGGAGAGAGCGCGAGAGGCGCTGGCGCCCGCTCTTTGGCTGAAGCGGCGACCGCGGGGGCGGAGGTGCGGGGGATAGCCGGTCCGGGCCGTCCTCTCTCCCCAGCCGCGGGGAGGAGGGAGGCCGAGGAGGGAGAAGGCGGAGGCTGAGCCCACTCCCCTTTAGGTCCGCTCCTCTGAGTGACTGCTGTCCGCGAGGAGGGGGAGGAAGGGGCGAGTCTCTCTGCAGCCCTCATCGAGCCGCCGCCTGCCCAGGCCTCTGATCGGCCCTGCGGGCGGCGCTGAAGCGGGCGTCGGCGGGGCGCGCGGGCCGCGTGAGCCCGGGCTCTGCAGCACACGGGGTGGGTGAGATGTCGGGCTGAGCGGATGTGAGCCCGGGGGTGGGGTCCTCTGTGTCTGGGGGGGTTGGGATCGTTCCGCCCGCCGCCTCGCGCAGCGCAGTGCCTGTGGTGATTGTGCATCCTGGGGCGCCGAAGCAGGCAGCGCTTCGATCTGCCCGCGCCTTCCAACCGCGCCCGTTGCGGGCAGGCCAGCCGAGGCACCGGCTCGGTGGCTTCACGGCAGGGTCTTTCTGTGCGAGGTGGGTGGTTGCACCTCGTGCTTCCCCAGCTGTAAGGCGGCGCGGGTCCCGTACACCGCGCTTTCTGTGGTCGGATCGTGCTCCGCATGTACGTGTTGGGGTAGGTCTGCTCTCGTCTTGCCTTCCTCTCCATGCTTGCACGCCCTTCTCTTGCACGCCTTGTGCGTGCACACACGCGCTGGTGTGTATAAAGCTGCCACTGAGATGGGGCAAAAATCGCTCCCGTATGCCCGAATGCGAAAACCTGCGTCTGTTGGGGACAGCTTTTCACGTGATTTAGGTGGGAGTGTGTGTCTGTCGTTGCGACTTAAAATGAAATCTTTACAACTAGGTTTCTTCTCTTTTTTTTTAATGTTTTCTTTTTCTTTTCCTCTTACGTTTAAAGAACTAATTTTATGTTGGTTTGACGGCTTAGGATCTACCAGCATATCCATCTTAAAAGTGTGCAACTGTTATGCTTTATTTCAGGAATTTAAACAGCTTATTTAACAGGATTATTCTTCTGCTCTGTAATGTACTTTTCTGCAGTCTTCATATTTGAATTCTAAATGATCTTCTGGGGGGTGGTGTTTAAAGATTCCCACAAATAAGCATGAATGTGTTTCTTAGATTGTAAAACAATTCTTCATGTTTTATGTGTAGATCCAGATTTATCTTTAAGTACACGTTCTTCAGTAAGTTAACAAACTGCTGAAGTTTAATAATTTTTTTTTCCTTTCCCATTAAAATGGGTGTGTGTGATATTGTATTTGTGGAAATTGTTTGAAGTTGCACATTTTGCCTAGGTGGTTAATCAGATCTTTTTCTTTTGATTCTGCTTGTTGCCTTGCATAATGCCTTCTCTTCCTTTGAAATTTGTTTACTGTATGTCTTTGTATGTTTATGTCTAATAGGGATCTTTCTCTTTCTTTCCTAGGTGTCTGTGTCTTCAGACTAATTTAAGATACAGTCCTGAGAAAGTTGAGACACAAGGAATTGCATACAGAACTACTACTTTCCGCCAGTATTCTTTTTCCTCTTTCCTATCCCTCTTCTTCCATAAGGGAGTACAGCTTAGGATTTTAGGTCCGTTCATCCCACAGAAATCTACCTTATTCTTTAAGGGATAGGCTAGACGTTGCCTGTTATAGTATCAGGAGAACGTTATTCGTTGCTTGCTGAGGGAGCTTTATTTGTATATTTGGAGTGCAGTGTAGAGAGGCATCCAGGAGGCTTCCTTGCCCTCCCTTTTTGAGTAATAGTGGATTCAGGAAAAAGGGTGCTTACGGAGACACGTGACCTCGTCAAAGGACCCAAGACTGAAGCAGCACTTGGCACACTGAAGGAAGCACCCGCTTATCTTTTGGCATCTTTTTTTGTCTGCTGCTGGTTCCTCACCAATTTCGGGTAAGTCTTTTCAGTCCATTCATTGATGCAGTGCATGTCTCCCTTCCCCCACCACAGGCACTAGGAGAAGCATGCACAGACTGAGAGTAGGGTGGGGGAAGGGAGGAGGGCGAACAGGCGTGCAAACACAGATCAGGAGGAGCAGAGTGTGCAGTACCACACTGCAGAGGAACCTGGACAGAGATGGAAGAACCTCTCTTTCAGAAAAACAGCTGATGTGGGAGGAAATGTTTTATTTGCACACAGTGGAGGGGGGTGAAAAATCTGTGAGCCTGTTGTAAACAAAAAAACCAAACAACTAAGGTTGAAGTGGAGAGAGAGCTGTTCTTGACCACTGTTGACCAGCTGATGTTGCCCTGTGTAGTATAGAGGGAAGAGGGCAGATTATTTCTTGGAGATTAGGACACTTGGGGTGTGTGAATGAAGAATGTTACCACCTACTTGCATGCTTGAACGTATGTGGGGAAAGGCTGGTGGTGTGGATGTCCACATTTTATAGGCAGTTGTGCCTAGAAGGATTGCTATGCTAGCATCTTTAACGTTACCCAGTGCAAAGGTAGGGAAGAGCAGGTGAGTGCCACCATAAGGACTGCATTTGCCAGTCACGGGGAGTGGGGGATTGTACTGAAAAAGAGTGAGAGTGATTAATACATTTCCATATCCCATGACTCTTGCAGTCTACAAATCTGGCACGGGAAGGGAGGTAAATATTAGGCTGTGCTTTCAGGGGTGTGTGTTTGGGATTTACCTGCTTGCAGTGACTTTAAATTCTAGGGCATGTTCAGAGGGTGGATGATAATGCATCAGGGCTTGGTGAGTTGTACTGCAGCTGCTCAATATTTTATGTAAAATGCATTTAAAAAAATATGCTAGCTTTTCAGATTTTTCACTTTTAAAAATCGGTTCTCTCCAAATATGCTCAAACAATTATGTGGCTTTTTTATGAAAACTAGTCTCTGGTAGGCAAAACAAGAATTTTTCTTGAGGTTGTCCTTAAGCATCACCATGGAGGAGCAGTGTCAGGAATGAATTGATTTACTTTGGGTTTATTTTTACAAAGCAATTTTAGAAGTGGTTTAAGATGTTAGTCTTCTCTCTATATTCAACCATAAATATTTCTTCCTAAAGTGTTTAGATATTTTAGATAATTGTTATTCTGATGTCTCTGTGGGTAACAGAATTAATTGTTCTTTATGCTTGAAAGAGATGTGAACCTGCTATCTCTATATGCTCTTTTCTCACTACAGTGAGATAGATGTTTATGACACATGTGCAGCATATGACCCATCATACAGTCCTTAGTTAACTAATTAACTGATCTATAAAGCTCACTCTGAAAGTAATGCCTCCTATTTATTTCCATGGAAACTCCAACAGATACAAAGAGCACAATAACATTATTTGATAGAGAAAATTCTTAGCTACAAAACACTTTTTCTACATCGCAATTAGCTGCATTTTCAGCAGCAATGAACAGGAGCCTGCATGTAGCACACGTAAAAATCTGCATCAGTGGAGGTTACCTGCTGTCACGACTGCTGAAGCACATTGCCCCGTGCCTCACTGTGCTGGCATCCACTCTCTGGTCTCCAGAAACATTCAGCAGGCAAAGAGTGTGTGTGTGTGTAATTTTTTCCACAAGGAAGAATTCAGTGACATACCTTTGCTTCATACATGTTTCCATGTCAGATGTCATTTTGACAGGCTGTCCCTCAGTTGCCATCTGTTGCACAGCAACAAAATATAATGGAATATTTGAGGGAAAATTCAGCCTCTACTGCCAATACCACCGCCGTCTGCCTCTGATATTGTGGGCCAACCTAATAAAATAAGAGGCATTACTTTCAAAATAGTCATAGGTGTATCTAACTTCTTCATTGTAATTGTACCTTGAGGTACCACCATTAATGTAACTTAGGAGTATCAATTGTTCTAATGCCTTCATCATCTTCAGGCGTAGCCTTCTAAACAGCATTCTAGAAACTGCTGTAATGGTAGAGAAAATTGGTTTATTGAAAGTATGTGCACAGTTTCAATTCTTAGCTTATTCATGATAAAAAAAAGTAAAGCAAAATTCCCTTTTCCAACTCAAATAATACCATTCTGTGGGGAAAAAAAAAAAAAAAAAAAGCAATGAGGTGTGTGCATTAACGATAAATGTGAGACTGCACTGTTGTTTGTGGTGAGATGAGTGCTTGGAGTTAATTTTTTCCTTTTTCTCTATTTCCCGTGGCAGCCATGGCAGCCATGACTGTCACTTTTTGCTCTTCTCATCTTCCTTAAGATTTTTATTATGATCTAAAATATAGGGATTAGGTGTGCCTAATGGTATGCTAAATCTAAGATTATGGGTTTCAGCAGTTAGAAAGGTGAAACCTAATCTGTTAGCTGAACAGTGCTGTGCTGTAGCTGAAGCCTAGAGTCTCAGACAAGGACTAAAAAAGAGGTGATTCTGGGAGGTGGTGGTGATAATAATTGTTCCAATAACTTGTTTCCCAGATCACTGTGTGCAATGGGAGAGAGCTATATCAGATAACAAGTTAAGTAGTTGAGATAGATAGTGCTAAATAGCATTGATTTCTAATGATACAAAACATTTGTAATTCCCAAAGGGAAGGAACAACCAAAGTTTATTAATATAGAAATGTATTGAGTATTTGTGTTTTAAATAGGAAGGACATAGAACAATCTTCTTGTTTAACTAGATACCTTGAACATCACACATTTATCAATAATGCATAAATGAATTAGTGTATCCTGACAATTGATTCCTTGTTTTACCTTTGGGGAAAAAAATGTCACGATCAAAAAGAAACTAGTACATTTTTTTTCTCCTTCAGCTTTTTGGTGTTGAAGGTAGCACAAGGACTAAATGGAACAGAGAGACCAAATCTCTAATTCCTGGAGACAGGTCTTAAGTATGTCTGTGTGAAGAAGAGACTCCTTCAAGGGAAAAAGAGTGGTTTTCAGTTTTCCAGCTCTGTTTGGACTGCTGATATGATTGGATGAATTCCTTACTATGTCAGTATGATATATTCTGCTATGATGCAAAGTAGAAAAGAAGCACGGTGACTGCTTTTGTCACAACAGCTGCAAAAGGTATATTACAGATTCAAGGAATGCAGGAGGAAGTACGTTTGCATGTGATGGGTAAAAGAAGAAACTGCTGTGTGAATGCCAGAATGAACTTCGCTTAAGCAGTGCAGCAATACTGCAGCTCAAAGTGGAGGTTCCATCAATTCTCTTCATAAATTGCTAAGAATCTGTTCCGCTCAGCATCTCTCTGAAGCAGATGCAGCAGTGACTGCTTGGCTAGTCTTAGACACAGTTTGCTTTCTACTGTAGAACTTAGATGCCGCTGTTTTATTTATAATCTGTTTTATGCAGTTAAGTCTATTTTTTTCTTGTTGCTTTTCATTTTCTAAATTTGTTAGTTACTGGAAGATAAAAGCATTTGAACTGTTCATCTTGTAGAAGACATTTAAACATCTGCTCTTCCCTTTATATATACTATGCTTACTTTGCAATTGATGTTTGCATGGATTAGAAAATATTTCATGTACACCCAACGTTGTATCAGGCTGTGGCTTTTAGATTGAGGTAGGTGAAGTTGGTTTTCGTGGAAAAAATAGTGGAGACCACATCCAGATCAAGAGCATAATTCTGTTGTGCATCTGACTATAAGGCCAGCTTTCTTCTTACAGACCGTTTTCTTAAAAAATGTGGGAGAGATTTTTAGGAGGTTTAACCCAGTAGTGTAAACTGAAGATTTTGTGTTCCATGAGACTGCTACGAATTCAAAGTAGAGATTATAAGGACAGGCTGAAATTGGTAGAGACCATTTATAGGAACACAAAGGTGAGGTAAGATGAGGATATTTATCCTAGTGGAAAAAAATTGGTGTTGGTTAAGAGGATTCTAAAGTTAGGATTACTTGTTTCTGCTTTGACTAGTCTTATAGCTCGCTGTAAAGTGAATTTCTTAGTCTTTATCTGCAGGCTTAAGGTTGCTTCCTACCTGCCTTATGATGAAATAGGAGACTTAATATGTACATTTATTAAACTTCATAAGATTCACAAGAAGTGAGATGAAGTGTTAGGAGAGCGGTAAATACACATCAAGGCATTTTGGATTGGCTTGCTTGTTTTAACAGGATAGTTAAGATACCTGGACAAGTCTTCCTGATGCTGTAGCTCCTCAAAAAAATACTTGTAGGAAAGACAGGCATATGCTGCTTTTTGTTTCATTCCCACCTTTCCTTACCCTCCCGCCCTCCCTCCTGCTATTCCTTGAGCTCTCTCCCTTGTGGCTTCTTTCTCCCTTGCTTCCTCATTCCCTTGGTTCTGTCTTCCCTCACTCACTTTCTCCCTTTCCCCCCATTTGCCCTTGCTTCCTCTGTGTTGTTACTTCCCTCCCTCTCAGTTTGTCTCTTTCTCTCTCCCTCCCTTGCCCCCTCCTTTCCTCACCCACTTTCCCTTGCCATCTCTCTCTCCCTCCCTCCCCCCCCTTGTGTTTTGTCTCTCTTCCTTGCTCCCTCATGTTTCTTGTCTCACTCTTCCTTGCTCCCTCCATTCCTCTCCCTCCTTCTCCTTTGCTCCTGCTGTTCCTTTCTCTCGCTCTCTCATGTTTTTTCTCTTCCTCCTGCCCTCAATTTTTTTTGCCATTGAGCTTTTCCTCCCTCTCCCTGTTCCCCTCCCTCCCACTATCCCCTTTTTTTCTCCATCCCTCTCTCCATGTTCTCCTTCCTCCCTCCAGCTCTCCTTTTTTTTCCTCCCTTGTTTTCACCCGCCCACCCCTTTTTGCTCGCCCACCTGCCTTCTCCTTTTTTCTTCTCTCCCTCCTGTCTGCCTTCTCCTTTTTACCTCTCCCTGCCGCTCTCCCTGTTTTCCACTCTCATCCACCCTCCCTCCCACCTTCCATGTTTTTTGCTCTTGTCCAGCCTTCCTCCCTTTTTCCTCCCCAGTCTCCCTCCCGCACCCCCAATTTCCTTCCTCTCTACCTCCTTCTCTTTTTTCCTCTTTTCCTCTCCTTCCCACTCTCATTTTTCCTTTCTCTCTCTCTCCCCCTACCACTTCTTTTTTTCTCTTTCCCTCCTGTCTGCCCTCCATTTTCCATTCTTGCCTGCTGTCACCCTGTTCCTTTCTCACCCACCCTACACATTCCTTGATTTCTAGTCTCGCCTCCCCTTTCTCCTCCCCAGCTTCCTTCCCTAGTTCATTTATTTCCCTCCTTCCTTCCCTCCATTTTCCTCTCTCCCTCCCTCCCTCTTCTTCCATCCCTCTCAGTTTTCCTCTCCCTTTGTTTTCCCCTCCCTGATTTCTCCTCTCCCTCCCTTGCTGTCTTCCTGATTTTCCCCTCTCCCTCCCTTGCTCCCTCCCTCCTTTACCCCTCTGCCTTCCTCTCCCTTTTCCCTTTCCTCACCTTCCTTTGTTTTCCTCTGTCCCCCCTCCCTCTCTCCATCCTTTCCTTCTCCCCTCATTTTTCTTTATCTCCCACAGTCTCATCCATCCTTCCTTTTCTGCCCTCCTTTCCCTCTCTTTTTTTCCCCGCGCCCTTCCTTCACACTTTCTGCTCTTACCTCCTCACCCTCTCCCCCCTGGATTTCCCCGTCCTTCCATCACCCTCCTCCTCTCCCATTTTGCCTCTTTCTCCCTCTCTCCATTTCCCCCACCCACCTCCGCGCTTTTGACCCTCTCTCATTTTTTTTTTTTTTAACCCTTCTCTGTTGTTTTTTTTTTTTTTAAAGAAGGCATTGAAATGGTAGCCAGAGAGAGGTGATGGCGCTGTCTGTGTAGATTTTAGGACATACAGGTGTGGCCATGTATGAGAGAGACTTAAGAAAAATGAGAGGAGGTCTGTGTTGGCAAAGAAATCAAGGCTTAATAGCAAGTGAAAATAGGGAGAACATTGTGGTTGAGAAAACACTTAGCAATTTTAGTATCAGTACCAAGAGGAAAAAGAGAAAGGGGAAAAAACATACCGACCAATAGACTTGATGATCTGTTATGGCTTCTGTTTTTGTTTTTTTTTGGATTTTTTTTTGTTTTTTTAAATAATCAGAAAATCTATCTAGTGTGTTTTCTATGTTCTCTCTGTTCTGTAGATTTTTTTCATGATGAGTTGTGCTATCCTGCTAGATACTGCTGCTTTTCAAAACAGAGATGGTAGGTTGTGCTGTTTTGTCTTGCCAGTTGTTGATGCAAAAATGAAATAAGGGTAGAAACCTTCTGAACTGTGTAGTAATGGTGCAGTTTTTGAAAAATATATCTTCTCCAAATTCTTACCTAACGATGTAGTAGTGCCAGAAAGTTTTCTGTGAACTACCATACTTAGAAAGCCAAAAAATGAGGCAGGATCTGTCAGTTATCTCCTGCTGCTAGCCCAAGACCCATCTTGCCTTTTTCACTTTCAGCTGCTTTGAAGGAAAAAAATACCAAACAACTGTGATACAAAAGGTATGCTTTACAGACTATTCCCCCTTGTGCTCTTTTCCTTGGGAGGACCAAATACTCCTTATCCTGCTGTCATTTGAGCATCTTGCTTGCTCTCAAGGGCTGGTCTGCATTTGTGATTGCTTTTGTCTAGCTTCTGCTTTCTTTCAGTCTATTAGTAGGAAGAGCTTTTTTTTCCTTGGCTTTATTTTTGTTTCTAGTTCAGCAAAGCTGTGGAAAACTAGTTGTGTAGTATGCAGAGATTGCTTTTTGCCATTGTGATTCTTGGTACTAGGAATAAAAGTGACCACTTAAAACTTTTTTTTTTCTTCATTGTTGTTTAAGAAATAGGTTTGCTAATAGAGAAGAAGAATGTATTTTTGAATTTAAAAATGAATCTCTTCTTGTGATTGTAGAAATGACCCTTTTGCCTCAATACCTGCTGCAGAAGCTTCATGTGTGAACAACAGAAAAAATACCTACTAGAAATTCTTTGAAATACTAAGTGAAGGTAGTTGTATACCTGAGGTCTTGTCTGTGCTTGTATCTTCTGATACCATGTCCTGTCATTAGGACTACCAGGAAATTACCTGTTTTGGTCTCACAGTTCAATTCTGTTTAAAAATCAGGTAAAACGTATTGGTGAAAAAAGTGTTTTTTCTCTCTTCATTTAACAGGAAGATTTAAAATATGTGGCAGAAAACAGCTCTGGTTTTCTCCAGAATTCTTTTTCTCTATGCCATGCTGCTTCCTGGTTGTTGTTTTGTTGCTTGTTTCCTTGCTTAATGCAAACATTTGGGTTTTTTTGGGTCCGTTAATATACCTTTAGTTGTTTTACAGCTCTTAAAATATTTTCAAATATAATAAAAAAAAGCAACACAAATCCTCGATTCAAATCAAGGGACACGCCACCGTGCAGTTTATCATTTCTAACATAATTCAAGTTCTCTAATTTGAAGCATGCTTTGTATATTTGTAAGTGCTGTTTATTTGTAAAGGTTGTTTTCCCTTTTGTGGATACAATCTTTAATTTTGCTTTTGGGTATGTATATTAGTGTTTAATATTCTTATAATTATATTGATGCTCCTTGTTCCATTGGCTCTCCAGTAATGTTCTGACTAACATCAAATGTATTTCTCAGTAGATGTGAAATATTTGTAAGAGTGAATCCATCTTGAAATAATACCGTGGAAGTTACTGTTTTAATGCACTTTTGTCTGGGATATTTTCCTATTATAAAGATTTGGTGTAATCTGTCTTCTGTATACTGTGAAAGGATGTATCAGTTCTGCCACAGGTGTTTTAATGGTAATTAGGGAAGCACTGAGCTATTTACAGTTGTAGGGAATTACTCTAAAAGGTGGAATTCTTGCCTTCAAAGATGGCCATTCAAAATGTTTTCATGCCTCAGTACTGTCAGGAAAGAAGAATGGCACTGCTGCTACCAGTAATTGTCAAAATGTGTATTTACTGTGGATGGAACTAGGGTAGGAGCTGAGGTTAGCATTTAGTAAGTAGCACTGAATGTAAATGGATTTATTTCTGTTGTTACTTCAATTACAGATTAGGCATAGGCATTTTTTCCCACTTGGAGGTTGTAAGTCTTTTGAAAAGGACTGACTTGTACAAAAATGATAGAACTCAGGACAGTGGGGAACATGGGGAATAGGAACCTATGTACTCTAACAGTCTCATCTTCTCCACCATCTAGAAGTTCCATTGAAAAGAAACCTTGAAGGTTGCAAGAAAAATCCAAGATGTGCAGTTCAGTTGCTCCCAGATTGTGGTTCTTAACAGACCGTCGCATCAGAGAAGATTACCCTCAGCAGGAGATCCTGAGAGCGTTGAAGGCCAAGTGCTGTGAAGAAGAGCTGGATTTCCGGGCCTTGCTGATGGATGAAGTGGTGCTGACAGTCGAGGATGGAAATCTTGGTGAGGATAAGCTAAGGCTGGGAATGTGCTGAACGGGTGCTTACAAAAAGATTTAATATGGAACGTGTACTTTTTGATAATGAATTCTGTGTGTGCCAGGCTACCTATATGTTATCTAAATAACGCAGATACACAGGATACCATATTCTTCAGCATTAACTGTGATAGTCAAATATATTAACTTTGCCTGTTTGCTTTAGAAGTGCATTTGCTTTCCCTTTTTAGAACAGAGAAAAGGTTTGCTTTAGCTGATTAATTCCTGGATAAGGACTATAAAGTTTTCAAACTGAGACAAAATTACTGAGTTTTATTTTTGTGTGGATACTTTTAATTTCATTGATCATACTTTAAGAGGTTTAGGTAACTTTTTTTTCTTTGGTTTATGTTCTGGCTCCAAGTTACCAATCACATTTGAAATAAAAGGGATTTTCAGCGGACAGTACAAATTGTTAGGGAACTGGAAGTAGTAATTTGATATAACCAAGCATTGCTACTTTGCGGGTGTGTATTTAGAAAAGGACACTGAAATAGACAGTATGTGCCTCAGAATAGTTGGAACCATTATTTCGACTTACAGTTTTAAGCTGAATTATAACACTTCTATTTTACTATTAGCTTGTTTCTTCTGAGGTAATTAAAAATGAAAAGCAAAACATCAAGGTGTGTTAAAAGTGTTTAAGTAATCTGATTTTTTTTTAGCTTATGAATTTATGTTATAGGTAGAAAAATAATGCCATTGTCAAACTGTGTAATGCTGTATTTTTACAGCTTTTTAGTTTGGATTTCCAATAGGAAGGAGAATGCAATGTTCTTGCATCCATACCTTTTCCATTCCTCTTCACTGTATATCACTCAAGGGAGAGAGGAAGGACTTACATTCCTGCAGGTTGTGTTAGGATTCTGTGTAGGAAGAAAATATGCAGGTATTCAGCAGTGAAGAAGAGGTTGCTACATTACTGTATGCCTTGTTCCTTGTTGAGGAATTTTTATAGGAGGGAAATCTTGAATTGGCTTTGGGAAAGAACTTTGGTCAGCATTTGTACTGTAACGTGAATCAGTCGAGCATAAAACAGAAATGCTTGAGGAAATGGGATTTTTAATTCTTCCATTACTAAAGATTCATTTTGTTACTTTGAATGTTGCTATTTTTGTTAATTTATCTATTACTGTGAAATGTCTGTGATTTTTTTTATTGGAGACTTGAAATTCTGCAGGATGTCTACAAATCAGAGAAACTTCTTGTCAGAAAGTCTGAACATTTTTTTGCCTAGAGTATGCTGTTGATTGGACAGTATGTTCTGTTAAGGCAGTCATCCAGAAATGTGGCTGCAGTCTTTTAAAACTCATGGTAGATCCTTCAGCTTTTCAGTATTGTTTTTTATTTCCTGTCCTCTGCCTGTATTGGGAGAATTAAATATGTCAAGCATGAACTGTGGGCCTTTCTGCTCTCTTCCATGTAATGTTTCAAGAAGAAAAGATAAAGTATGCAAGCTGGAGTTGCTGAGAAACATATAGTACAAGAATGGGAAAAATTAAAGAAATGACTTGAGAGAGAATGCAGAAAAAGGAAATTATTTTCATTCAAAGTGTTCATTCAAAACTGTGTAAGTAACTAAATTTTTTCAAAAGGAGTGAGATAAAAATGCAGAAAAACTGTGGATAGAAATTTCCTTATGTTTGATCTGGCCTGGCTTACTGTGGAGTTGGTTTTTTTTTTTTTTTTTGTTTTTTCCTTCCTGCTTGGGAGAGATGAAAAATTGTGCCCCTTAATTTTCCAGTTTTCTTTTTCCCAATGTTTGTCCATAATTATAGCTACAGATTTCTGCTTGAGGACACATGCAGATGTTTTGTTTCATTTTCTTCATAATAAACTGGTCTGTTGGCCTAGAATAAAAGGTGCCTTATAACAAAGTTGAGGAGGTAATGCATTCTGCACCCTTTTTTTGATCCCTTTTTTGAGGGATCCAGGTTGCTTGAAAGTTTATGTAACACAAACAACCTCGTGAGAAGCCTGTATCTTCAGTGGATAATACCTGCTTTTTCTCTAAGTTTTCTTGTTATTTATGTTAAAAGTTTGGCAGTAGATGGCTTGGACTTAGAGGATAATACATGCAGAAGAAGTCCTCTATACTCTGCCCTTGTGAGGCCCCATCTGGAGTACTGTGTCAAGATCTGAGGCCACCAATACAGGAAAGATGTGGAGCTGTTGGAGAGGGTCCAGAGGAAGGACATGAAGATGATCAGAGGGCTGGAGCATCTCCCTATGAAGACAGGCTGAGGGAGCTGGGTTTTTTTCAGCCAGGAGAAGAGAAGGCTGTAAGGGGATGTCATTGCCCTTTCCAGTATTTGAAAGGGGATTATAAACAGACAAGGAATCAACATTTTACTGAATGGTTTTAAGGTAAAAAAGGGAAGGTTTAGATTGGATATTATGGAGAAGTTCTTTACTGAGAGATCAGTGAGGTGCTGGAACAGGCTGCCCAAAGAGGTTGCGGATGCTCTGTTCCTGGAGGTGCTCAAGACCAGATTGGATGGGGCCCTGGGCAGCCTGGTCTAATACCAGATCTGCAGATTGGTGGCCCTGCCTTTGTTAGGAGGGTTGGAACTTGATGATCCTTGGAGTCCCTTCCAACCCAAGTCATTCTATGTTTCTGTGATTCTATGAAGTAATAGATTTTTACATACTCAGATCTGTGATTTGGACCTTTAGAATCTAGACAATTTCTTAATTGTTAAAAGAATATGAACTTTGCAAAGACAAGTTGAAAAAGAAAGTTTGCTATTTAAAACTTCAGCATGTGGTATTTTGTATGAAATATCACCAGTGATATTTTTGTGTAGTCTTGCTGATTGTTGGGATAATGGATAAAAAGGCCAAAAATTCAGCATAGTGCTTTAATAAGCTTGAAATCATTTGCTTCATAGAGGGATTGTGGTAAATATACTTCTTAACTTACGAAGTGTTAGTAGAACAGTGGGACATGTGCTGAGACTAAAGACTTGTATTAATTAGGTAGCATATGCCTTGGCAGTAGAGATTGTTGAGGTAAATATCACTGGAGCCCAGAGACAAAAGTCTGTAAAACTTCAGCAACTCTGTGACTCTTCCAGAATCTGCATATGTCAGAAAATGATAATATTTACCAGGTATTCAATCCAGTAAGCAATCACAGCAGTAGTGACTCAGTCACTGCCTTACAGTGTTGTATGGCTGGATACCCAAGTAGGTCAGCATTGCATGTCTAGCATGCTCTGCAGGTTCCTTCTGCAGATAAAAGCTGGGATTTCCCAGCATCTCTAGCAACTCCCTGTTCTACTGGCTACATTATGAACCTTTAACACCAGAGTCCCTGTGAGTCTTCTGGTGATCTGTGTGCAGCTTCAGATCTGCATATTAGGAGCCTCAGTACTGCAGGAATCCAGAAATGATTGTAAATGCAAGTTAGGAAGCGTAGAATTAGTTTCTCCTTCGTGTTCAGAAGGAAACACTTAAATGTTACCAAAAAGGTAGTGTAATTGAGCTTAAGTTAAATAAGACAAAAGCCATAGACACTTTCAAAAGTGATCCTAGTAAGTGCTTCTTCTTGCTAGCTTACTCAAGTTGTGCAGTCTTACTTCCTTTCCATATCTCTAAGGCAGGAACTCAGTGGAAAATTCCAGCTGCATAAAAGAATGAATGTTTTTATTTGGTGGGCTGAACCTGCTGAAATGGGTACTGACTCAAATACACAGCACTGATACGCAGGAAGGGGGCAAAAGTAGATGAATGGGTAGAACAGGAGGATGGTATTGCAGCTGATTTGATTTAGACAGGCTCAGAATATGTCTCCTAAGAACCAAATTCTAAGCTAGTGTAATGATAATTCTACTGTTCACTGGAGTGGTTTCTTTCAGCCTTGGTCGTGCTGCTCGTCTTTGGGCTTCCTTTCACGCCTTGCATGAACTCATCTAACACAAAAAAAAAGGTTGACCTAATACTCTACTCTTTTTTAGGATCTGGCATTTGTGGAAGTTGAATGGACTAGTGCAGTCAAACACTATCAACTCTGCTCAACTGATTAACAGGTTTCTGCTGGAATAGCTCTGTGCATTTTGTAGTAACAGAATTGCTACCTCTAATGCTCAGAGCAGAGAACAAGTCTCTTCTTTTAGCCAATGTCTCATATTTAGGTGAATATAAGTAAACATTCAAAGCGTGCTTTAAAGCACAAATTCTCTTATGGGCAGGATATTTGATAGCATCAATTTAATTTTGTTTTGTTTTTGTTTGGTGTGTTCCTTTGAAGCATTTGCTGTTTGCTGCTGTAAGGAAAACACTAAGTTATTAAATTAGATTGCTTGTACTCTAGTCTAGTTTAGCAGTTCCTGTATTAATTTGAAAAAAGTAGTAGTAGGCAATTTATCAAATTTAGTGTGACATTTTCAGACACACATCTTAAATCCTGTTAAAATGTGTAATTTTGAAATTCATATTTGTTTGCTAGCGTAGTGGTACCCACAGTCTTGGGGAATTCAGATCTAGAAGGACCAAAGCTTGTGAAGAGTAGTATGTGGTAAATGTGTTAAATCCAGCTGGCGCCCAGTCACAAATGGAGCTCACCGGGGGTCAGTATTTGGGCCTTCCTGTTTCATATTCTTGTTGATGACCTGTACCCTCAGTAATTTTGCAGATGACAGTAAACTGGGAGGAAGAATTGATCTGCCTGGGGGTAGGAATGTCATCCAGAGGGATCTGGACACTCTGGATTGCTGGGCTGAGGTGATGGTATCAAAAATGGTGTTGCTAGTGGGAGCAGGGAAGTGATCATCCCCCTGTGCTTAGCTCTGATGAGGCTGCATGTTGAGTACTGTATTCAGTTTGGAGCCTATCACTGCAAGAAAGACACCAAGGCGATGGTGTCCAGAGAAGCACAACAAAATGGGTTAGGGGTCTGGAGAGCAAGTCTTATGAGGAGTGGCTGAGAGAACTGGGATTGTTCAGTCTGGAGAAGAAAAGGCTCAGGGGGAATGCTTATTGCTCTAACTACCTGAATGGAGATTGTGGTGAGGTGGCCTCAATAGACAAAGATGATCGGCCTTTTCTCCTGCATAACTAGTGGTAGGACTAGAGGGAATGGCCTCAGGTTGCACCAGGAGAGGTTCCGGTTGCATATTAGGAAAAATTTATTCTCCAAAAGAGTAGTCGAGCACTGGAATACCAGTGTCCAGGGAGATGGTGGAGTCACCATCCCTGGAGATACTCAAGAAATGTTTAGATGCACTGAGGGACCTAGTTTAGTGGGAAATACTGGTCTTAGGTGGATGTTTGATTTAGATTTTGGAGGTCTCTTGCAACCTTGGTGATTCTATAAGTGAATTGGAGTGGAGGAAACCTATAGAGAATAAGCATGGATGTTACTGGGAAAGAGACAAAATTGATTCAGTGGTTGTCTTCTCTTTCTGAGTAGAATGCTCTTTCTCTTGTCACTCGTGGGACTTGGCTGAAATGTTCTCCACAGACATACCTTATCTGAAGAGAAGCAGATTTTAAGAACTGATGGCTGATGAAGTACTGCCTAGGTAACATTTTTCCTTCATAAAAATATATAAAACATCTTCACTAAAATTCTTTGCTACCTGAATATAGCTAAACTAGCAGAATTTAAGACAACTGAAATAACAACAATTCCTTTGTCGTAGTTGTTTAGAATCACCATGTTTTTTTGATACTGTGCCGTGAAGGACAATAGTTGAGAGGAAAGTGCTTGTGTGAACTTCTAACTAGGAAAGATACTGGGTTTTGTTGAAGAGTCCTACACCATAAAACAAAGTGTGAACTTTTCTCAAGAACTTTGTGATGTTTCTTTGGGGAATATAAAAGCAAGTGATCAAGATACGTGCTTAAACAACAATATGTAGAAGGCACATTATTTTAACCGTACAAAAGTTACTGGTGTGCTTATTCAGGTATTTGGATTTCCGATGTGGACCTGAAATCTGCAATATTAGTTAACCATGTAGCTTAAGTCTTTAATATTGCATAATCTGTTTTTCGTTTAGTGCCATCTATCTTTCATTTCTAATTTGATCTAAACTAGTAACAAACCATTGTAGTTTTTGAATTTTTTTTTCCACACTGGGTTAGATAGCACTGAAAAACAAGCGTGGATTAATAGGGATATTTGTAAGATTTCTGTGAAGTACATACATAATAGAAAGCTGAGGAAAGAAGAGTAAAGTTAATAAGTATCTGAGTTCTTGATGTAACAGTAAGAGTAGCATTCAGTCAGCTAGATCAATGATGATGGCATTCATATCTACAAAATAGTTCTTATAGTAAGGTATCAAGAGTCTTAATATTTATGAATCATCTTTAAGTCACTTTGAAGATTGTCTTCTATCACACAGTAGGGAACATAATCACCTCTTCTTCCTTCTGTCTGTTTCAGCAGTCCCTTGGCACTTGATAGTCCAGAAGTGTACCTTACTGTAGGAGTGTTTCCTGCACTGTGCAGCAAATTGCTCTGGGAGTGATGCAGCAGAGGCAAGTGGCCTTGGCAAGGTGCCTTGTTGAGCACTGCAGAGTTGGCCTGTTTCCTGCTACGAACAACAGCCACAGCAACCATTACTTCCACTGCAGACTTGAAAAATTGGTTTGTAACCAGAGGAGGGCCACAAAAATGATCCAAGGAATGAAACACCTCTCCTGTGAGGACAGGCTGAGAGAACTGGGGCTGTTCAGCCTGGAAAAGAGAAGGCTCTGAGGTGACCTGATAGCAGGCTTTGAGTACCTAAAGGAGAGCTATAAGAAAAGAGGGAAACAGACTCTTTATCATGATCTGTTGTGACAGGACAAAGAGAAATGGTTTCAAACTAAAATGAAAGAATTAGATTGGATGTAAGGAAAGGGAACCGCTGGAACAGATTGCTCAGAGATGTGGTGGACGCCCTGTCCTTGGAGGCATTCAAGATCAAGCTGGACAGGGCTCTGAGCAACCTGATCTAGCTGTAGATGACCTTGTTTATTGTAGGGAAGTTGGCCTAGATGACCCTTAAGGGTCCCTTCCAACTCAAATGATTCTAAGTTTCTATGATTATTCCATTACAAGAGTAATTTTTCTTTTTTTTTTTTTGGTTCTTTCAATAGAATAGATTTCAGTGCTCTCAAGTATTTCACATTTTATGAGGTGCCATGCAGTCCGTATTTCACTGTAAAGAGCATCCTCAGCTAAGTGCTTGTGTGTTTGTGTGCTTTTGTATATTTTTATATATTTTTATATATATACAAGCATGCGCAGGCTGGCATGCTCAGCTGTCACACCACAGAATGAAGAGCATCTTGATCTGCTTCATCATGTGAATCAAAATATTATGACCAGAGAACTTGTACAGAGCTGAATACGAGCCTCAGTGCATTAGAAACAATGGTGGCAACATTGGAATATTGCAGTTTGTGCCAGGTGGGTCCCACAGATATTCATGTAGGAAAAGAAAAAAAACAGTGTATGCAAGTTTGTCAGGACCAATATGAGGCTAAGGGTGACTGTTTTCCAGATCACACCATTACTGGTGATGAGATGTGCGGCCACCACTATGAGCTGGAATCAAAACTGCAGTCCATGGAGTGGTGACATGTGAATTCCTCATTGAATAAAGAAGTTCAAGACGTACTATGATGTGCACTGTCGTTTGGGATGAGAAAGAGGTGATCTTTCCAGACTTCCTGGAACCTGGACAGACTGTCAACTGTGACCTCGACATCATGATGCTGACTAAGCCGAAGGCTCCAACTTCCAGAGTCAGTCCAGAGAAGAAAACATGAGAGCTCCAGTGCCCATACCATTTTGAAGACTGTAGACACATTGTGAATCTTGGCCGGACTGCCCTACCATACTCATCACGTAGTCCAGATTTAGTGCCTTCTGACTTCCATCTGTTTGGGCTGATGAAAGATGGACTGCATCACCAACATTTTACTAACAGTGATGCCTTTGTAGCAGCTGTGAAACAGTAGGTCACCTCCACTAGTGCATATTTTTGAATGTTGCGTGCAGGCTCTTGTTCACGGCTGGGGGAAATACATAGATACTGGCAGTGACTATGTTGGAAAACAGTATTTTGAAGCTGAGAATATGCTCTGTGAGATAGTGTTATTGTGCTTTTACATCTGCTGTGGTTCCTTGGAAATAAACAGGAGGCATTACTTTGAGAGTGATGTGTGTGTCCATGTGTGCATTACTTTGCGATACCTGTATTGGACAGTCTGTTCCTGGATGAGGAACAGATAAGACAGATCCGCAGGATGAGCGACTTATTTCTATGGCAAGTCAGGAGGTTGTGCTTTGAGTGGAATTGTTTTTTTTTAATATGAAGCAGAAAGAGATCGCTAGTGCAATTAAGACCAACAAGTTACATGCAGTCAGTTTTTACGGTCTTGAACTTTATTTTTCCAGAAGTTCCAGGATTTTCTGCACCAAGCATATGTGTCTTTCAGATCACTTATAGGAAGTACTTATAGGAAGCTATCCAAATCAGATTGTGCTATGCTTAATGTTGCTGAAGGGTGCATTTCATTCCTATAGCATGCCTTTACCTTTTCAGCAAAGAAAGTTAATAGCAGAAGACTCCATATCACGTTCTCCTGCTTGCATTGCTGAGTGTTGTTTCCCTGACAGAGGTGTTATTTCTAGATATATTCTATACTGGGATTAAAATTTTAAATATCATTTACATGGATTGTCTGTTGCTGTGTCTGCTTATTCCTAGTGAGACAGACTGTGGTACTTCAGCTTAAAAATTCATTAAAAAGTTGAAGTAGCTCTTTCTCCACAAAACCAGACTCGAACTCAACTCAGGACCTAAAAGAGACTAATATTTGTACCAGTGACAGTGTCTTGTATTTATTTGCATGTTTCTTTGATGGAGAATGTTGTTGGATGGCTGTTTATGCTGGGAAGAAGGAATATAATGGTGAGATTACTTGGGTTTTTTTTCTTTCTACTTCTTTATAGCTTAACAATATAAGTTTCACTTTTTTTTTTTTTCTCTTCCCTTTTGAATTCCAGGCAGAGTGTACTTGTACTTATGACTGAATTTCTTAAATTGCTTTCTAAATTTCACTGTGGTCAGGAAATCAGGCTATGTGTTTTATCCCCTAACATCATCCCAGTAAAGGGGAGGCACTTTCAGCTTGGAGAACTTTTTCATAGATATTGGATTGGAAGAAAGGACATTTCCCATTGTACCTACAATTGAACTGTGGATGAGTGCATTGTGGATTCTATGCCCTGTTCTTTCAGCCACCTAAAAGCTCAGGCAAATCATGGGGGAATGCCACAGAATAATATGTGTATATATATAACCATAGAATAATATAGATTTTAACTGAAAAATTTGTACCAATCTGTTGCAGAAACAAAGATCAATTTGAAAGTTAAATACAGCTTTGACATTTGATTAGACTCTTCAGAGCATATCCAGACAGCTTTAGAAAATCTCCAGAAATGAAGTCACCGTAGGCTCTCTGGCAATCTGCTCCAATTTTTGACCATCCTCAGGAGGAAAAAAGTGGTGTAGTATGTATGCAGCCACAAGCGTGTTTGCGGGTTGCATCTGTTCTGTAATGCAGACCAAAGCTGTATGTGTGTGATATGCTTCTTTGTGTGGAGAACTTCCTCCTCACTTTCACAGCCTGTCTTTCTGCGAGAGTGTTTATCCATTCACTTCAGCACTCCAGACGTGCAAACTATTCAATCATATTTCTGTACTTCCTAGTGAGATTGTACCTTTTCCTCTGCATGTGGCCTTCCTCTTTTTGCCCTCACTGAACAAATGCATGAACCAGTGCCTAAGATGATCTGCTTGCATTGCTTTTACAGGGACAGTGTGCTCTTGGGTATCATGCTCTTGGGTATACTTTTCCACAGCCCTGTGACCGGTTTTCTTTAAACTGGTCACTCTTGCACTGTGAAACTGGTTTAAGTCCCTCCTCGTTATCGGCGTAGAATCTATTGGTATAGATAGTCTGGCTCTGCTTTGTCAGATTTTCTCTCTTCAGCAGTCTCCATTCTTCAGAAAGGATCTTGGGATGGTAAATGCCATACCATTTCGTGTGGCAGCAGTTGTGAAACCAGATGTTGCTCAGGAGGATGTTTCTTCTGCTCAAGCCTTTCCCCTTGTGGACAAGGTGAAAGAGTGCAGTTACCTGTGTTCTTGTGCAGCTCATGTAGCATATAATTATGCTATATATCTAACTATGTGTTTCAGTGCTTTTGCTTGTTTGTTGTACTTGAATGAGGCTGGCTTCTGGGCCTTAGTAGCAATTTCGCTGCCGATTTTTTCTTACCTAACACTGTGGGAGTCATCAGGGATTGTATTGTTAATTTAGGACAGGAGAACAAGAAGACAATTGGAAAGAGAGAAATCTGGCTGATGAACTTCTTTTTACAAAGTTGGAAGGAGGGATAATGATCACGGAGCTATAAATGCAGATAGAACAAAAAACCATGCTGCAGACAATTCTACAGTCTCAGAATGGCAGTATGCTAATATTTTAAGCTGTTTAGATGATTGCTGTTGTTGCTATGATCCAGGCTTGTTTGTTGCACTGACGTTTATATTGATCGCTTCCTATAGTGAGCTCATTATGCAGTACCTGCAAAAATCAAATTGAATGAAGGAACAGAATAGTTTTGTTGCTGATATAGGATGTTTGCCAGCTCACCAGTGGGTGCAGCGAGTGCTAGTGAATGATTTGCATGGATTACATAGGGCTGGAGAATTGTACTTGCTACAGCAGCAGTTTAGAGTGACTTCTCTTTGTCTTTCAACTACAGTATTACCTGACTGTCCAGCAGCCTTTTCTCATGGTGATTTCTAAAAACGTGTTCATTTCTCCTCTATTTTTGCTTGAGCCTAAGGTATGTAATGCACAGTCAACTATTTAACTTTTCAGAACTTTTGATCTTTTTAAATAATTAAAATAAATTTAATAATTTTATTTAAATTAATAATTTAAATAAAAAGAGGCAGAGTTTAAGAGAGAATGTAAATGACAGTTCTATTTCTGAGAATGAATTAAAGGTAGCATTTGGAGTTGAGATTTTTCTGATTGTATTCCTAAAAGCAGAGGAAAACGTAATCAAATATTTGAAGGAGTTTCTTAGAGGAATCTGTGCAATATTGATTTGAGTCTTGTAATACTAACTGCTTGTAAAAAGCTTTGGTTTCTTGTCATTTTTTTTGTGGTCAGATCAACAACCCTTCAGTACTTTTTGTCTCTTTAAGTTAGGCAGATGCTAATTTCCAAACAGGTAAGACAAAGACCTTATGAGCTTGTAGTGCAAAGAAAAAGTAGGTAAAGGCATTTATGAATTTATATGGATTGATAGACTTAGCACTACATTTGAAGTCTAAAGATTACTAAGATTGGTAAGACTTCCTAAATGTATTGATTTCAAAGGTCAAAATAAGCTGACAGTTGGGGATATCCCTTCTGTTGTCTTTCAGTTCAATACTACTATTGCCTGCTTTTCTTTATTTGTCTGGTCTGGTTGGAAGGACTGTTTATCTGTGTAATTTTGAGGGACATTTTCTTGTTAAGGTAGTTATAGGTTGTGTGGACTGTCTTAATTAGGGAGCATACTAAGCAGATGTCTTAATTAGTTAACACAGTCTTGGTACTAGGTGGAAGCTTCTGCATCCACAACATGTGAGAAACCAAGGCGTGATCTGGTGGGTAGCAACTCTGTCCGTGGCAGAAAGGTTGAAATTGAATGGTTGAGATCCCTTCCAACACCAACCATTCTATGATTGTATTTGTATTTTCATTACAATACTGTCACGAACCTTGTGTGCAGTTACTGCAGTGTCATTTTAACCCTGTAAAGCTGGGAAGAGGAAAGAACCCCAGTAAGCTTATAGAGGAATTAGGAAAATTGAATCCTTCCATCTCCAGTTTTGCTTTCTCTGTATTTTTTTTTTTATTAAAAAAAAAAAAGTCTGTCAAAACTAGGAAATTTTGGATTATATCTTTGTGTTTACGACAATTCCATTTATTTATTTAGTATTTATTTACTTATATGTTTATTTATATATTTATGTTGTACTTCTCTTATGAAGAGACCCCAAACTGTCATATAGCATATATAAATTAAATATTTCTCTACCATACACACAAAAACACTAAACATTACGATACAAAATATCAGCAGAGATGAGAGCTGATGTTATCACTGCAAGCTTTGAAAGTCAATTTTAACCCAGCCTTTGAGACAAGTATCATTATTCAGTTACTGCTCTTAAGAAGATCACATTTGTCTCCAAAACAAATGACTCATAAAGCTAATGTAATGTTGTTTAGATGGTTCTTAAACTGGAATTACAGGTCAAAAGAATATTGTTAGGGAACTTTCATGTTCCCCAAAATTCAGGCTCAAAAAACACATTTAGGAACACTTGGAAAGACATATAGTTGGATGTTATTTATTAAAAGTTTCTGATAGTGTAAGAACTTCTGGATGTCTTACTTGATGTGGGAGACAGATATGAAGGATACATGTCTCTGTTAGAAGTGGAAGACTCCTTTGGGATACTTCTCCACTGAGTGACTTGCTTTTAATAATAAAAGGATGAGTTGCTGAGATAAAAGAGGATGGTTTTTGGTGCCAGAGAGAGATGAGGTGCTTAAATTTTGGACATTACAAGAAAAATCTTAGATTCATCTCAGGTGCAAGGAGATGTCTGCCATGATGGATTGCTTGAATTTTTCCTCTGGATTTATGTCTGGTTTTGGAAAGACCTTTGTGATTACCCATTTTTGGGGGGGCGTGTGCTCTTAATTCTTCATCTGCTATTTATTTCTAAGGCTCTTGATGTTGATGAGCTCTAGATAGATAATAAAAAGTGACAGATATCTGCCACAGTTCTGTCACTTGAGAGTGCTTTGTACTTTTAAAGCCTTAAGAGCATACTTGACCTAAGAAATGTACTGAGATGTCCTAGTGGAGAAAATTGTGTGAAAATCTTGAGCAGATATACAAGAATACTCATCTATAGTGATGTAGAAACTAAGAGATCGTGTCTCTTTTATAAGCAAAATGCTCTTTTTGCTTCTGAGGTATGGTGTATGCTGAGCAGTGGTTTTAGGCAGCAGTTCCATTAGGCAGGCTTACTAACCTCAGCTCCAGGCATCTGAAACACTGGGGGGATTGCCTT